AGCAGTACGATATGACAACGTGTGAAGTGTCATCTGCTAGGGAAACTCATTGGAAACTCAACGCCCAGGGGTTTTTATTGGGACTGGTTAAGTGTGCAACAAGTTGCCTTGCCAGTGCCAACATTCCAGACTCCAAGGAGGAAAACAGGTATTTAGCATAAACCATGTTATTTATACAAACAGTTTAGGCACGGTGAACCACTCTTACCACTTAGGGAAAGTGTTACATCAGTGTAGGAAACTGTTTACCAGCCAACTTCCCAGATGCCAGCTGGGCCATTTCTAAGGATGACAGTCTCAGGCCTATATTAATTCTTTTCTTCATGAAGCCTTTCTTTGTAATTTTGTCCTGTAAGGTCCCACATGAAAGAAACCAACCTTTGCTTTGTCTTTTTATTATTGCAAAAGGAAAGCAGATTAAAGATGGCGGCATGAGAGGTGAGACAGAGACCTCCTAAAACCACATCTAATACGAAAATATAATTAATACAACTAATCCTGAAAGAGCAACAGGAAAGAAGGCTGTGCCAGACTGCATTCACCTAGAGAAAAGAACAGGATTGGGAACTTTCACGATCTTCAGGCGCTCTATACCCCTGGCTGGCCACGCAGCTCCAAGGCCCCCCACCGTGATACACAGCCTGCTGAGCCTTCCTCCCTGCCAGTCCGCACCTGGCTCACAAACCAACAAATCCTGACCGGGCATCAGCCAGCCAGAGGGAAGCCCCGCCTATAGCAGCTACAAAGCCAAAGCATAGAGGCTTACACCTGTGTGTTTGGCCCACTGGTTCTGGCAGTGGAGACAGGCATAGCATCCAGGAGGCAAGAAACAGCTCTTTCCTCACCCCAGGCACCAGCATCACTCCCCTACGACCCCTGACATTGCTCCAGGGGCTCAGCAGCTCCAGAGAGTAGAGCGCACTAAAGGGTGTCACATACAAATGTGGAATGTCAAAGGAACCTGGTTCAAAGCAAAATCTCAACACTACCAGAAAAAGGATTGAGTGAAACTGAACTAATCAATCTTCCTGAAAGAGATATCAAAATAAAAATCATAAACATGCTCCTGGAGGTACAGAAAAATATTCAGGAACTCAGGAAAATTTAGGACAGAGATCCAATCGTTGAGGAATACAATGGAGAGTATTAAAAGCAGATCAGATATGGTAGAGGAGACAATAAATGAAATAGAAATTAGAGAAGAGGAATACAAAGAAGCTGAGGCACAGAGAGAAAAAAGGATCTCTAGGAATGAAAGAATACTGAGAGAACTGTGTGACCAATCCAAATGGAACAATATTTGCATTATAGGGGTACCAGAAGAAGAAGAGAGAGAAAGGGATAGAAAGTATCTTTGAGGAAGTTATTGCTGAAAACTTCCCCAGTCTGGGAAAGGAGATAGTCTCTCAGACCATGGAGGTGCACAGATCTCCCAACACAAGGGACCCAAGGAAGACGACACCAAGACATACAATAATTGGCAAAGACCAAGGATAAGGATAGACTGTTAAAAGCAGCCAGAGAGAGGAAAAAGATCACATACAAAGGAAAACCCATCAGGCTATCATCAGATTTCTCAGCAGAAACCTTACAGGCCAGAAGGGAGTAGCATGATATATTTAATGCAATGAAGCAGAAGGGCCTTGAACCAAGAATACTCTATCTGGCAAGATTATCATTTAAATTTGAAGGAGGGATTAAACAATTTACAGATCAGTAAAAGCTGAGAGAATTTACCTCCCACAGACCATCTCTACAGTGTATTTTTGAGGGACTGCTATAGAGGGAAGTGTTCCTAAGGTTAAATAGCTGTCACCAGAGGTAATAAAAAGGGATAGACAAAGAGCACAGAATATGATACCCAGTATATAAAGAATGGAGGAGGAAGAAAATAAAATAAAAGAACCTTTAGATTGTATTTGTAGTAGCATACTAAGTAAGTTAAGTTAGAGTCTTAGATAGTAAGGAAGTTACCCTTGATCCTTTGGTAACCATGAATCTAAAGCCTGCAGTGGAAATAAGTACATATCTATTGATAATCACCCTAAATGAAAATGGTCTGAAAGCAACAATCAGAAGACATAGATTCACTGAATGGATAAAAAACAAGACCCAACTATATGCTGCCTACAGGAGACTCACTTCTAACCCAAAGATATACACAGACTAAAACTGAAGGGATGGAAAAAGATATTTCATGCAACTAATAGGGAGAAAAAAGCAGGTGTTGCAGTAGTTGGATCAGACAAAACAGACTTAAAACAAAGTAACAAGAGACAAAGAAGGTCATTACATAATGATAAAGGGGTCAGTCCAACAAGAGGATATAACCATTATAAATATCTATGCACCCAACACAGAAGCACCTACATATGTGAAACAATGCATTCTAGGAGACTTCAAAACACTCCAGTCACTCCAAAGGACAGATCAACCAGACAGAAAATAAGTAAGGAGACAGAGGCATTGAACAACACATTAGAACAGATGGACCTAACAGACATCTACAGAAGTCTTCACCCAAAAGCAGCAGGATACACATTCTTCTTAAGTGCACATGGAACATTTTCAAGAATAGATCATATACTAGGCCACAAAAAGAGCCTCAGTAAATTCAAAAAGATTGAAATTTTACCAACTGGCTTCTCAGACCACAAAGGTATGAAACTAGAAATAAATTATGCAAAGAAAACGAAAAAGCCTGCAAACACGTGGAGGCTTAACAACATGCTCCTAAATAACGAATGGATCAACGACCAAATACAAAAGGAAAGCAATTTACATGTAGAGTTGAAGAAATAAAAATGAGGGGAAAAAGGAAATACCCTGAGTAGTAGCAGAGAAAACATGAGGACTAGGATACATTATAGTTGATATGCAGCTTTTGAGAATAACAAAATAAACCAGAAAAACAAACACCTAGTGTCCACCCTCCTGCCCTTTTCCCAGATGTGTTTTCACTATAGCAGAGATGCTCTTTGCTGTGAAATAGGCTAAGGTTTTTTATGCACACAAAATGAATGATGATCCCATCTCTCCAGAAACCAAATTACAAACTTTCTTGTGATTAATGTAATTCAGTGGAAATGTTCCTGTTCCACTTATTGAAGTTTGTGTCTGGGTACCAGACAGTGGAGTTGGAGCTGAGGCTCTTCCAGCACATGCTGGAATGGCACCTGCATTTTATTCCCCCAAAACACCAGAAGTTATCCTCTGAATAGAAGAGGCAAGTTTCTTACCTGATGCATTGCAGGTAGTGATGTAGGGTGAATTTCTGTGAGACTATGATACTTATTTTGGAATGACCCACCAAAAAAATTCTAATGATTTTGTTTGCAAATAATTCATCTTCTCTTGTGGATTCTGGCTATACAAGTTTTTTCTTTTGGTTGTAATTATCAAAATGGGGTTTATTTAAGTATAAGTTTGTTACTTAGCTAGAAAGCTTGTTAATGTCTTCTAGATTCAATTTGTATTTTTAAAATTAGGTGTCATGTTTTATTTGTAGGTTGACAGACAGGCTGTGAGAATCATTATTACAGCATGCTGCCACGAATAGTTTCCTCGAAGAATATCCTTGTTTTTATGAGACACCGAAGAGAAAACACCTGGATTGACTGTTAATCACTTGAAGTATTTAGTTTTAGCCAGCAAACTTCACAGAACAGTTGTTCTTTTTTGTGTAGTAGTATGTAGAATCATAGTTAAAAAAAATCATTTTATGTATTTCTACTTTCCTTTAAAATCTTCTCAGTTACTTTTTACAAATGTTTATTCATACTCCATCTCCTTATTTCTTGTTGCAGTATCTCTGAACTTGTGCCCAATAAGAAAAATAAATATGAAGTTCTCTTCTTTGTCCTTCAGTAAAATTTGTTTGGAAGCCAAATGAATTTTGGATTGCCTGCTGGTTTGTAACTTTTATGAAATAGGGTATTTGTGTACTCAATTTAAAAAACTGAGTTTGACATTATGATCTTTAAAAGGCAGGTTTATTGATTATTTTAACACCCTGTTCCACTTAAGCTACATTCATGTAATCACTTGCATTTGAGGACATTTTTTACTCTATTATATGTTCACATAATGAAAAATTAGAAAGATATACATTGAGAAGTCTCACTCATGTGCTCCTGCCTTGTCAGGATGGATCTGGGTTGACCGTAGTTTGTGTAACATCCCCTACATATGAGCATTTGTGTTAACTTTTTACTATTAGAAGTGCTGCTGCAGTGAGTAGCTTTATGTATTATTTCATGTATATGCAGTTAAAGAAAAATTCCCGAAAGTAGGAAGTGGAATCCACAGTGCCAAATTGTCTTCTATAGGTATTGTACCATTTTGAACTTCTATCAAGTATGTGAGAATCACTTCCCTTTGAGTAACACAGTATTTGGGAATCTTTCTAAACATGTGTAGGTGAGGGAAATTGAAACAGGGCTTGTCCAAAGTCATATAACTAACATGATAAGACTTGGGTTTTAATTCAAAATATTCTGTTCAACAGACTACACTGGATTTGCTGTTTTCCTACAGTTAAGACATGGTGGTAAAATATAAAAGTTGTTAGCCCACAAAGATGCACTAAAGAAGATCTTCCTTATTATGCTAGTGTCTGAAAGTTCATGGATGTATATCATCCATGTTCTGTAGTCATAGAATGAAACGATGGACAGGTGGAGTTCTTTTCTGTTCCCACACTTGGGTAAAACGGATGGGACATGTGAGTTCCCTGTATAGTCTCTGCAGCCCATGTAAGTGTTCTGGTTTGGGGCTTGTAGTTTTGACTTCTCAGCATGGAGACTGGCAGCGTCATAGAAGTACCACCTGTTTCTACTTGCCTAGTAGCCTTCATCTTCATTTTTAAGTGTTTGTCTTTTAGTTGTCCATCAGAAGACGGAGGAAATGTTACAAATAGTTAAGGATGCTGTTAAGGAAGTAGTTCATTTCACTTAAGATGCCATGTCTCCTAATGCACAATTTTTCTATTTGTTTTACAGTGGAAGATTGATGATAAGCCTGTAAAAATTGATAAATGGGATGGATCAGCTGTGAAAAATTCTTTGGATGATTCTGCCAAAAAGGTACGTTAATGAGGGGGCTTTCTGTTTGCATGTATATAACTAAGGGCATATTTCCTGTAAGGTTTTTTTTCTCCTGTGACTTGGAATGGACTCTGTTTTCAGTGTTAAGAATTGAGCCAGAAAGCAGATTCTAAATTCCTTACAGTATGTATAGGGGAGCATGTGTTAAATTATAAATATTAATTACCTACGTCAAGCTTTTCTTCAAATTCTCTTAGTTTTTGAATTCCAGAAAGCTCGTAATCTGTTGTTTTTGAGGTTGATTAGCTAAAGCCAAGAAGGTTGGGGGGAAATACAGAACCTTCAGCTATGATTGGTTATCTCTCCATTTAAAAAGAGAAAAGAAAGTTTTAGCTTCAGCCTAGGGAAAAGTTGAGGATTAAAACAAAAGTGAGAACTTGATAACTTTTTTCGGGGTTGTTACAAGCAGCTTGAGTCTTTTTTCTCTTGGAGTGGTAAAATCCTGATTGGAGAGAACTACTCAGTAATTTATATGACTCTTAAGATAACTTCTATCATGTAATTAAGAATAAAAGCAGGTAATAGGAAGGAAGCATTCCTGTTAGCTTAATTCCTTGTTCTTCTCACTAGGTACTTCTGGAAAAGTACAAATACGTGGAGAATTTTGGTCTAATTGACGGTCGTCTCACCATCTGTACTATCTCCTGTTTCTTTGCCATAGTGGCTTTGATTTGGGATTATATGCACCCCTTTCCAGAGTCGAAGCCAGTTTTGGCTTTGTGTGTTATATCATATCCTTTATGTTCAAGTTTGTTTTCTAGTGACTTGTTTATTAAGATCTCTACTGGTAACTCCTCCCTGCTTCCTACACAAAACAAACTTTCATCCTGGGAGGGGCTGCTAATGTTAGACTTTAATGTTATGAGCTGTGGGCATCTGTGAATTTATTTAGTAATTATCACATATTTTAGATTTAATATGTTTATGTTTAATTCTGTTTAGTTATTAATGTAGAGGTTATTCTAATCCAAGTGTAAGCTCCCAATAGCAAAACAGTAATAGTGATACCTAACTTTTCTCATTTCCAGCCTAGAACATTTCCTATTTTAGCAGGCTGCTTCAAACCACTCACTCCAGGATATTAGGAAAGGATCAGATTTTGGAGATTCACATCTGTGTCACGTTTCTTTGAAGCTCAGGGTCTGAATTGGGTGTTGCTGAGCATGAGGTATACATAGGTGTGGCTGAGTAACAGTGGAATTAAGAACCTTTTCTGGAACTTCAGAACCTGGGCTTGAAATCCAGTTTGTTTTGTGATCTTATGCTGGTAAGAACTTAACTTCTTTGAGGCTGTTTGAATGCTGCTCATTTATAAATACAGGTAATGTACACTCAGAATTATAAAAGCTAAATGAGAGATTTTACAATGTATTTGGTATGTAATAGTCACTCAAATGTTTCCTTTTCCCCTCTTTTATGGTAGATGTAGAATCATGTTTATTACCTACCTGTCTTATTTCTCTAAAAGCTACATACAAATAACTTTTATTATACTATTATTACAGAAGTTATACATGTTCAAAGTAAAAGTTTTCTTGTAGTTCCTACCCCTCCTCCCCAAGAGAATCTGTACATACTGCATTTTTCTTTTTTATTAGAAATTATGTTGGATGTCTTCCCATGTTAGAATATATAGGACTACCTCATTCAAACTAGCCACACAGTGCTATTGTGTGTCTGCTATGTGTCACCACTGCACTAGTTGTTTAAAACAAATCATTGTGGTAGGCAGTTTACTTTCTTAATGACACTGCTACTACCTGAAATATTTTTTAAAACTCCACTTAAGGGATTTTTTTTCAGAGGCAGTTATCAAGCCATTTAAACAAGTTCTGATAAAAAAATGATATCCAAATTGACCCTAAATTATAGTCCCAGAATTGGCACCTGGACTCCTTTCAGTAATTCCAGTATGAATTCACTATTAAGGCAGTTCAAAAGAACATGCAGTGGGTTCTGGAGATGATTCCCACAGAAGTTTCAAAGAGGTTTGAACAATGACAGCAACATTATTACAAATATATGGCCTCCCAGAAGAACTAGCTTGATGGAATTTTCATGTTTGGTTATATTTGTTTTAAAAAAAAAGATATTGCCATGTTTATAATGTCAGTTTTATGTATAATAGTAATGATTACCATTATAAATGTCTTTTGTGTGCTATACACTGAATATAAATACATTATCTCTCAGATTTCATGACAATTCTAAAAAGTCACTATTATCCTTATTTTAGAGATAATAAGGTTAAGCCTTGGGGAAAGAAGTAGTAATGTGTCCAGGATACATTGATCAAAAGCCAGAATTCAAATCTAGGCCTGCCTCACTTTAAAATTCATAGCCTTTCACTCTACCTTCACCATTCATACAATTTAAATGACACAATGTATTCAAAGCTCTTAAGACAGTTTCTGGCACACAGGTACTCAAATATGGTAGTTAAAACTGTCAAAAACTGAAAATAATAATAAGCCTGTATATATATAGAAAGCAGTTACTCTTAAACTGGAGCCACTTTTCTTCTCTTTTAATGACCCTTGAAATTGGTTGAGCATGGTCAAATCCCTATGATTATTTGATTTGTATTTTATGGGGAAATAAACACAAGTCTTGACAAACAAACTAGGCAACAGAGGATCTTTGTATATTTTTTGTCCTTGAACAGAAAAAGTGAGAGCTAGTTTAGCTTTTTCCTTTCTTCCTTTTTGAGGTGTTATTTGGAGAATTAACTGGAGAGAGCCTTGTTTCTCTTGGTATATAAACATAAGGATGAGAATGAAAGAGCTAAATTTTCAGTATTTTTGTAGCAAGACAAAACTATCTTCTTTAGCCTTGTCAGTATGAAAGTTCTCATAGCCCTTGCTTGGCAGTTTGTATTATTTCTCTTGTATGTTTCTGTCTTTACCCCTTAACTTTATCTGAACCTATTTTGTTATGATGGGGATCCTGACCATTTATACCTCATATAAGGAGAAAAGCATCTTTCTCGTGGCCCACAGGAAAGATCCTACTGGGATGGATCCTGATGATATTTGGCAGCTGTCCTCCAGTCTCAAAAGGTATGACTGTCCTCACAGATTCTTAAATTCTGGTGTTGGATTTTCTCTCGTTATCATTATCAACAACAGACTATTGTGTGCCTACTCTATGCACATCATAGTGCTAATCATGTAAATGATGAAAGGGAGTTATGAATGATCTAGAAGGTTTTTCCTAGCATTGCACTTCTGAGATTGCAGTATCACAGAAGTGCTCTGAGGATAAGTTGATGGAGAAAGTACTGCACTGGAAGAATGAAGAATGATTCTCTTTCTCTTTGTGGTAATAATCTGAGCCAATTAGAGTGAAGAACTGTAAAGGCCAAAGGTGTGAAGTTAACTTATCTTTGAAGAACCCCATTAGCTTCTATGTCTTCTGTGATCTTGACTGCCGTCTGTGCAGTCAGGAATCTCTGAAGCAGTGCAGCGCAGCTCAGAGAAGCACATTTCAGTTTGTTTCTGACCAGCAGTGGGTTAAATTTGTGCAGCTGACACCTGAAGTCTTCTAGGTAACCAGAACTAGGTTCAAATTCCAGCTCTTCTCTTTCTAGCTGTGTGACTTTTGGTATATCATATAAACTAGTTAAGCTTAGTAGCATCTAAAATGTTCGGTAGAGTTGTTGGGAAGATGCCAACTGGTATATATACCAGTTATAATAATAGCAAACTTATATCGAGCATTTACTGTATACTGGGTATTGTGCCTAGTGCATTGTCTCATTTAAATCTTAGAACAACCCATTTTATAGTAAGAACATAGGCTCAGAGTTAATTAGTTCTTCTAGGCCCAAATGTGAATTCTGACAGATTTTCCAGCCCATGTCTGAGCCCAGAACTCAGGCTGTTAGTCACTATCCTAAAAACACATGGTATAGTTCCTAGCACATAATAGGCTCTCAAATTTAAAGTACAATTATTGACATATATGAAGGTAAGTATAGCGTCAGTGCCCGGCAGCCTCTCTCATCAGCAGCGTGGGGAGACGCCTGTAAGGAGGAACAAACCTGATATGGCAGCCGCCTCCTTAGCGCCTCTGGGCAGGGCCCCCAGCTGCCCTTTTGGCCTCAGCCATCAATTCTACACCGTGTGCCAGGCCGCTAAAGCACAGCTGCAGAATTCTAAACCCTAGCAACATCTTGGTTTCATTATTTTCATTGAGCTATATATAGTTGATATTCCATACAGTTCACCCTTTTAAAGTGTACAGCTTAATGATTTCTAGTGTATTTACAGGTGTTTGCAGTCATCATCACAGTCAACTTCAGAACATTTTCATCATCTCAAAAAGAAAACCTGTGCCCTTTAGCTATCATTTCCCTCTCCCCTCAGCCCCCAACCTTAAGTAACCACTAATCTACTTTCTGTCTCTATAGATTTTCCCTGTTCTGATATTTCATGTGACTAGAATCAGATAATATGTGATCTTTTGTGATTGGCTTTCTCACTTAGTATAATGTTTATGAGGTTCATCCATGGTGTAGCCTATGTCAATATTTCATTCCTTTTTATGCCAGATAGTATCCCACTGCATGGATATGCCACATTTTGTTTACCCATTTATTAGTTGATGGACATTTGAGATGTTTCCATCTTTTGGTGATTATGAATCATGCTGATGTAAACATTTGTATACACACTTTTATGTGGACATACCTTTTCCTTTCTTACATAATACATCTGGGAGAGGAATTGCTGGGTCATATGGTAACCTTTAATTTCTTGAGGAACAGATTGTTTCCCAAAAAACAGCTGCACTATTTTATAACCCCACTAGTGGTGTATGACAGTTCTGATTTTTCCATATTGCCTGCTGATTTTTTACTGTCTGCCACATTGTTGTGCCTGTGAAGAGGAGATGTGCCACCTGTGTTCCTTTCCATTGCAGTTAAATGCAGATTCACTTCTCTTACCTTGAAGGTAGCTCTTGGCTCATTGGCATTCTCTCTAACATAGATCCTTTCAGAAGTCCTCATGATTTCAGTATCCAAGTGGATGATGATTCCAGTCCTTTTCGCCTCTCAGTTTTCTTCTGAGATTGATTATCTTGTTTTCTTCCTTGTCTTAACCTCTTATTTTCCTGGACATACCCTAGACTTTTCTGTTATTGATAACTAATTACCTTCAGTAATTTAAGTTGTCAGTATCCCACTCTGACTATGGCTTCCTGTTTTTCTAGTTTATCTCCTCATTCTCTTGTCCCAGCAGTTCTTCAGCTCCAGTGATATCTGTAATTCATTGAGCCTCCCCCTTTTCACTGTCCTTTTTCTCCCTCATTGTTTCACTTCTTCCCTACCCAGCTTAGATGTCATGTTATTTCTGTAGTCCAGTTACTCTCTCATGGTCCTGCGGGATCCTTCATACCTTCTCTTCTATCTTTTAACCTCTGGCCCCTTGCATCTCCCCCTCCCCCAATCTTTACTCTCAGCATCTTTTTTTGCTGGAAAGACAGAAGCAGTCAGGTCTTGCATTGTTATCTATTTACAGTGCTCATCATATTCTGCTTCTGAGTTCTAGCTAAGCCTCCTCTCCATTTGTCCACTAGATTCTATCCCTTATTTACCTGATATTTCCCTCTCTGCTGGATCATTCCTTCTGGCATGTAAGTGTGCTGTAATTTCTCCCAATTAAAAAAAAATTTCATTTTCTTTCCCCTTAGTTTTCCTTTCATAGTCTTCCCCATTTATCTGTCCCCCTCCCTTTTCTTCCCTGTCTCTTGGATCTGCTCTTCTCCACTTCTCTTTCTTCATTGTACTTGACCTGTCAGCAGAGTTTGATATATATGTATATTTTAAACTAGTCACCTAGGATTCCATAATCTTGTAATTTTCTTATCTTAATGTCATCTTAATGTCTGTTCCTTAGTCTCCTTTATGATTCTTCATTAGCTTCTTTCTCTAAATTAAATGCCACTAGTGCTTTTCCCTAGCACTTCTTCTGTGTCTGTATTCACTGTAGGTGTAGTCTTTATCTAGACTCTCAAGACCTTAAGTGCTGTCTATGAGATGAAGATCTCTGTTTTCCTCTAGACCTCTACTCTGAACTCCAGATATATTCCAGCTTCCTATTTGACTTTGGATCCTATAAGCATCCCAGAATGAAGATATTCATAACCTAACTGCTATCCCTCATCTAAAACTGCTTCCTACCCTTTTTCCCCTATCTCAATGAATGGCAATTCCATCCCTGTAGTTACCCAGGCCAGAACTCTGGAATCATTCTGATCCGGTCTTGCAGTCCTTCCAGTAGTTTGTCAGCAAATCCTGTCAGTTCTACCTTCTAAATATATTCAGTCTGACCACTTAACTGTCTCCACTGCTACCATCATCTCTTGATTAGGTTACTGTACGAGTGGCCTTCCTAATGGCCTTCTGCAACTGCTGTCCCTGCTTTTAGTCTATTTACAGTGCAGCAGGTCTAGTGATCCTTTTAAAACATAAGGCAGATTCAACTCAGTTCTCTGCTCAAAAAACCTAAAATCCTAAGCACAGCTTAGAACTCCACACTTACCTGTGCTATGCACCCCATACACTATGCAGACACACCCAGCATCGCCTGAGGCTCTTCCCCTCTCACTCCATTCTATGCACATTGGCCTGCTTTCTCTTCTTGAGACATTCTAAGCAAGTTCTTGCCTCTGGCCCTCTGCATTTGCTGTTTCCTCTGAAATATTCTTCCTCCTAGTAACCTGTTTTCTCATATCCTTTAGGACTGTGCTCCAACATTTGCTTAGTGAAGCCTTACCTACCTAGCATATTTAAAAGAATGTTGTATTTTTCTTTTTGCTTCCCTCACACTAAAGTAAAAGTCCTAAAAGGCAGAAATTTGTCTGTTGTGTTCACTGCTGTGTATCCTAGCATCTAAAACTGCCTAACATGTATAGTTGGGGCTGAATAAATACTTATTGAATTAATGAGTAACTATTTAAAAATGCATCAGATCACAACCCATCAAATCATGCCCTGCTATCAAAGCCATGGGACTGCCAGTGGAACTGGGCCCTAAAGCCTCAAAATCATTGTGACATCAGTTAACGGCAGTAGGTCAGAGCTTGAGAAGAAATTTCGACATGTTGAAAATAGTTCAGGGACCTCCCCCCGACCGCCACTATCCAGGTTGGGATTATTTGTCAAGCTAGGATTTTTTTTTGCATTTTGAGCACTGTTTTAACAATGACAGTGATCCTGAAAACTAGGTGGTAGTTTTCCTATTTTAAACATGCAGAAACAGAGGCTCAAGTGACTGCCTCCTTTAAAGGCAATACTGGCTTGATGGTTCACTGAGTATGTCCAAATGTAGACAGAAACAAGAGGGGCTGGAGAGAGGAATGGCAGACTGCCAGAGGTTGATGTTAAAAACCGTCGTAGGTGGATAGAGATAAAAGGCCTTTAAGATACATTAAGGTATAGCTAAGAAATGTCTGAAGTTTATGTGGTGAAAGACATCCCTAACCTGGGATCACAGTAGAACCTGGAGCTAGATTGGTTACAGGGAATAGGGACTGAGCAGCCTGGAATTGGGTAACATCTCTGAAAACAAGAGTTCTTCATTTATTCATAACAATGTGATTGCAGACCAAGTGTCAAGCCAAGAATAGAAAATCAACACACAATCTTGCATTTAAGAATCCCTGAATCTAGTTAGGAACACAGAACAAAAACATTAATAGGTAGTTTTGTTGACAGGATGGGAGCCTAATCATTGGACCTGGCATATAATAGGTGCTCGGTATTTGACTTGGCTATTGATGTTGCTTGCTATAGGTGACACAGGAGAGACATCCACCCAGTTTGGGGGTGTTGGGGAGGCTTTTCTACAAAAGTTTATGCCCAAGTATCCTATTAACAAATGGGAACTAGTCCAGTAAGACTGGAAAGAAAGGAAGACCTTATGGCATAACAAGTGCTAAGTCCAGAGGCAAGAGAAGGTGCTCCATGTGTTCTAACAGTCTGACAAGGTAAAGGAGGTATGAAGTAATTAAATCAGGGAAGACATGGCAACACCTATGGACCAGAACTTGTGTCTTGAAGGCAGTTAGGAGCCCCTAGATTTTTTTTTTTGGAAAGGTTGGTTCTGAGTATCCCTTTATCACCAGTAGCCAGCCAGCTCTGCCCTGTTCTTTGAAAACATCTGGTTGGGGCTTTGTTATTACTGCTTTAATCTCTGTTTGGTTTTTGATTTATTATCTTTGCTTAGGTTTGATGACAAATACACTCTGAAGCTGACCTTCATCAGTGGAAGAACAAAGCAACACCGGGAAGCCGAGTTCACCAAGTCCATTGCTAAGTTTTTTGACCACAGCGGGACACTGGTCATGGATGCATATGAGCCTGAAATATCCAGGCTCCATGACAGTCTCACCACAGAAAGAAAAATAAAGTAGCCAATTATAAAATAGCCGTCTTCTGCTAGATCATGACGAATGATGGGGGGCTGAGGGAGAAAGAAACAGAGAACTTAAAGTAAGAAATGTTAAACATGTCCCTGATTTGTCCTGAAATTTCAGTCCATTCTGGATAAATAGGATTTTCTAGCTCAGATATGAGAAGTTGTAGCTCTGATATCCAGCTGTAGCCTCCTTGGTCTGCTAACTGCATTGTTTTGATTTGCTTTTCTGAAAAAGCATTTTTGCTAGAGGTCGTACAGACTTCCTCCTTCATTCCCAGCAGTACTTTATGTAGTATAGCTTTGTGCCATGCAACATATGAAGACACAGTTTTTAAAAATTGTTAACCTGTTGCTGACTTTGTGTTAATTCCTGTTTCAATAGCATTTCCTTTAATTCTGGATACAACTTCTTGTGTATTACAGCTTTCCTTCACACACCATTTTTGTGGGTGTGTATGTATTTGACTTGGGGAGAATTGGAAAAAAACAGCATTTTAATTTGTTTAAAACAGACCTTTTGCCTGTTACATTTTGTGCTCTTAAACCAATTAAAGAAGCAAGTGGTATTCTTAGTTTTAAATTGTCTATGTTTTCCACTAGTATATCCCTGTTACTTGTTTGTGCCCTTTATTAACTGCCATTTTCTAAAATTTTTTTCAATAAAAGGAAAGAAGATGTGAAAAAATGGAGTCATAGTCTTGATGGAAGGAATAGATAGCAAGTGTTAACAATCTTATTACTGTAGGTTTCTTTTGTTTCTAGGTTGTTTTACTGGCCAGCAGCCCCTGAGAACCTTTAGGTGAGGAACTTTTTGCTTTCTAGTGATAATAATTACACTCAGTTCTTAACTTTGTGCCAGGTAGCTTTCCAAATACTTCACATGTATTAACTCACAACAATCCTAAAAATAGGAACTGTTGTTAACCCCATTTTATAGATGAGGAAACGGAAGCACAGAGGTTGAATAATTTGTCACACAGCTAGTGGTAGAACTGGGATTTCAATCTGGTTTGGCTCCAGACTTGTGAATAGCATTTTTCTAGTATTTTTCTCCTGTGGTCAGAGAACTGGGCACTTGCCCATATCCTTTGATCTGTAGAAATGTTGGTCCTCTAGCCTTACACAAGGAATTCCAACCTAGCCTACTACCTAAAACTATATGCATTTCAGAAGAAATCACGCTTACCATATTTTCCTCTGACTTGGGAATGTTGCCCAATCTAGCACCACACATGGGGGATTGTGGAACATAACGACAGGGAGTTGAAGCCTTAAAATCTGTGCTCTCTATTCCCATAAATCTTGGGTAAGTCATGTAATTCTGAGCTACTAGTTGTTTCTTTTTAAAAAAAATTTAAGGTGATAATCCTATTTGGTCAGCCACTTAACATACTTTTGAAAGTATGTAATCAGATAATTGTATTTTTACAATGAAAGAATTTACTGTTAGTTACAGGGGTCCTAAGGCTGTGTATATAGATAAGAAATAACCCTCTCCAGGGTGACTCCCTGGAGGTCTTTTACACAAAGTGTACCTTCTTCTTTACAAATAAAACAATGTATCTTTAGACATATATATGTATAAAATATATTTTTTACAAAAATTGAATTATGTTGAAATGTGTTACATAGTTTTTTTGTTTTTAATGTTTCTTAGGTATTTTCCCTCAGTATATATAGGTCAAACTCCTTTTTAATGACTGTATAATATTCCACAGTATAAATGTTTTTAACTATTTCCCTACTGATATGTATGTTTGTTTGTAGTTTTTCACTACCCCAAGGGAGGAGTGGATTTGGGGAAGGGGAGGGGGGGAATAAAAGCAAGATGTGGGTTGTTTCCAGCCTACTTGAATTTGGGACCTTGGGCAAATGTCATTCCTTCTTTAGGACTGAGTCTGAACCTGTCAAAGAGGTTTTAGATAATTTATCCTTTTGAGATGAAGGCTCCTTACGCCACAGAAATGCCCATATATAAAACATTTCTTGTGATTTTTGAGAGTATGAATGCTGTAATCCCTTCAATCTGCCTGCCCATAAATACCATTTCAAGATTTCTTAGGTTGCATGGATCTAAGGATTTTCCCTGACTCTAGAAACCAGTTGAAGCAGTATCAAGTTGCTAATTAAAGAAGTAGGTTAGCAGCCCAGCCCTGTGTTGCGCTTGGTCATCCTCCCATCCCCCCACTTGTGCAATTTGAGGACAGTTTCCCATCACGTGACCAGGTTTTGATATTGCAGAATGCCTCCGTCTGGCTTTTGACACCTGAGTCTACCAGTGGTCACTCCAGCCCGTTCTGAATGCTGCTGGGCTGCTCTTTACCTTTTTCAGTAGGTCTGCAGCATCCCCCCTACTAGCCAACCCTGATAGCCATCACATTTTCCTTCTGGCTTTCAATTCTTCACGCCTACTTAGGACGGACTTAGGTCTTCCAAAATACGTAAGAGGAGAGTGGGGAAAGGTAGGTAATGTTTTTCATCATTTGCAAATTTCAGCTGCTAGTGTGTATTTGATGTTTGGTGCTTTTATATATTTTAAGAAACAGTCTCTTTGCTCAGAATAATCTTAGGGAATGGAAGAAAACGCAAAGTTCCTTGAACACACAGATTTTTCTCTGGGCCTAAGTTCCTGCTCAGTTTAGAGCTTTTTCTCTCACCGACTCTCTTTACCTTACCCACAGCTGGCTGAACAACCCCATCCCTCAAACCTTGTTTCTCTGAAAGAAATTATCTTGGAAAATTGCTAATATTTTTTTTGTAGAATGTATCCTATCTGCACTGACACCCTCTTACGTTACTAGAGTATTCTTACAACCTAGGCTGAAAGCATCTAAGTTAGGTTGACTTCTCTGATATCCACAACCACCTTAGGAACAATTGGCGAGTATTCTTAGGCCCTTTTTTTGTGCCCTGGGTTGTTTTGATAGTCTGGTGTTGTCTATGGCCCCTTTCTCAGAATAATACTTTAAACATAGAAAAACATTACTTGTGAAGGAGGACTGGGGAGATGGTTGCGGGGTAGTTTCTAAGACCGTTGCTCAGAAGGGGCCCCAGTTGTTCACTCTCCTCTGGACAGGAAGACCTTACTAATCTGGGATCAGCCATAGGTTCACTGCATTGTAACTACTGACACTAATATTCATCCTGTCGTGAGGCGGGGAAGGGGAACAGCAACAAGTTTCCTGTCAGACGTTAATTACAGTCACACCTACACAAGCACAAAAAGGGGGGGAATTCTCTACCTCTCTCTGTTGAAACCAGGACAATTGTTAGAACTTTGGTTTATTTGAGGGGAGGGAATTTGGGTGTAAAATGCTTGTTAAGGAAGAGTGGTGACTGCTGGGTCTGTCTTACAGCCAGCACTCTTCCACAGTCTATCATGCCAGTTAGGTCTATTCAGAGACAACAGTACAGGTCTCAGAACTTTGTGCAGTGTATCTTGACTGGCCCTCTGGGGAGATTTCTCTGAGACAGACTTCTGGGAAACCACTGAGGAGTATTGAGGCTGTTAGTGCCCTGGATGCAGTTTATAATGCTATCAGTTGTAGTCTTGCTTCAGTTGACTGCAAGATCCTGACCACATTTTTCCTGGTTTGAATCTTAGAGTTCTGTTGGCAGTGAGCCACTTTGAAAGATGAGGTAATGTCTCTCCCCAAGACACAGGTTTGCTTACCATTCACTATAAAATCGTCGAATTCCCCAAGCTCAGGGTTCTTTTTTCCTTGTGACACAAACTGCTGCAAGTGTAGGCATCTATCTAGGCCTACCCTGTCACTTGGTGGGGCATGGGGATCTGACACAACATCATGCTTGTGTTGCTTACTGTAAGAAAGTTAGTTCTTCATCTCTGATCCAGGCGTCTCATGTCTTCTGCTAGCATCCATGAAAGAATAGCAGCTTAACTTGTTAGTTTGCAAGTAGGATAAAATCCAAACCCATCATAGACTCCTCTGACTGTTGGTATCAAGAATAGGGTCTTGACAGTTGGCTTTCTAGAAGAGAAAGGACATGTGTTAGATGAGGGGACATGAGAAAATAACCAGCAACAGCAAATGCTACTGAACAAGTTGGGGAGTAAGAGTCCCTCATTGTCTTACCTGTTAATATTTTGGGGCTAATCAGCAAGAAGTAGGATTGAAACAGTGCCTGAAAGGTACTTAGGTTGTTGCTCACTTTTCTCTGGGCAGGAGGAGGAAAGGATGTTTTGACAAAGAGACAGAAGCCTGTGGCCCCTGCTGAAGGTAATATAGCTTTGTGATGAGTAAGGGGTTCCCAAAGGTGAAATCAATTATGTCAGCAGTAAGGATATATAGAGCTTTGAGTGGACCAAAACATTAGGAGTTTGTTGAGTCCAAGCAGGTAGCCACTTGAAAATAAATACATGACCTTGCTTAGCTGGCACAAAGCCACCTCCCTCTGCAACCCCAGATCCCTATCTTCCTCTGCTTTAAGGAAAGAAACTGTATATGCTGGGGAGTCTTCGAAGAGGTGGGGACTCTCCTTTTATAGCTCTGTTAAATACAAGCATGTAAGTCACCATCCTGTTTGGTCCCAAGGAGACAGGGAATGCTGGGCACAGGATGGTCAAAAGTGCCAAGGACTGGAACAGATCCTTCGTGGTATATGGGGTGGATGGGGGGAACCACAAAATGCTTGTTGGGGCCAAGAGGTACACAGAAAGGAGGTAGCACCGACCCTGGAGCAGGAGTCAGGAGAAGAGGCCTTCCCACTGACCTGGCTGCCACCTGCAGGCCAACCTCTACCACTCCTGTGATGTCCTCACATGCTTGGCTGAGAGAGAGCATGATCTGTAACGGGTTGGGACCTCCAACATACCTATCTTACACTGCTTGGTTTGGGTTCCCAGAGTGGGGAAAAAGCACCTGAATTCAACTGGTAGGTTTGGGCTAAGTTTGCAATAGGAAAGGAAAATTAAAATGACCTGTAGGGGAGCCTTTACACTGATTCAATATACTACTGTTTTATGATTTTCATATCAATGTATTACTGATGTCCATTATACATTTGAACTGTGAATGCTTGTAAGTCTCCCATTCAGGGATGTTGGCATATAGAGAAGTGATCCCTGTCTCCTCTCACATAACCTAACAAAAACAATACAGAATCCTGAGAGCAAGGGAACAAAAATCAGCTTTAGTTGAAAACTTGGTCACTGCCAGAGTACTCAGGCGATTTCCCAACAGAGCAATGCCACCTGTCCTTTGCAGGCACCAAGTACACTCTTTTAAAAAGGTGGACAGCCATTAGGCTCCTGCTGAGCTATTGCTAAAACTGAAGAGTTACCCTGTGAAAGCCCTGTAACTCTGGCCTAACTTAGCCATTCTGGGCCATGTTGATTTAGACTTGACAATGAACAACAAAGAACCCAGCAGGCTTCCGTAGTCAAATGGAAATGATGAGTTCTGGGGTACAGCCAGCCAGACCATCTTAGTTTTACATGAAAAAGTGACAGCTACTCCTTTGGAAGAAATATATTCCCTACTCTCCTCTCTGAAGCAAAGCCATGGGCTCACTGGGGCCTTTGATTCACAGAGACTTCCCCAGTCAAATGCCCAAGTTAAAAGTCGTTGATGGCCAGCGATGATTCTGGAAGACTTACTGCAATAGGGCTAATAGCACAATGGGCTTGAAAATCATCACCCTTGCCTTAGTCAGTTCCTAGGGGCGAGACATGTCATTTTTTTTACCAACTCTTGGGCTGTTGACAGTGGCTGAGTCTCATCTTTCACTTGGAAGACTATGGACTGTCAGATTAAAGATACTTTTCTTTGGGGCCACAAACTAGAAATGAATTATAGCTAATAATTGAACTATTTGGGTCACTTATGTAGATGCCCAGAGTGAGGGCTCATTCTCTGATGAGTCCCACTGGAATCAAGCTGCTGATGAAGCCCGTACTGATTGCCACCATTGTTGCCTCATTCCATCATCATACTAGACATAGCATTACATGTACCATCATAGCCTGGGCACAAAGTAAAGGATTTATGCTTCTGATGCCAGGCTGCATGCCAGTCTTGTGACTCCTGTCAAAAGGCCTATTTATCTAGCCACGAGTGAGACCACATAGTACAGGGCGTGACTCTCCTCTCCTGGCTGATGGACTATATCAGACCTTTGGCTCCCTCATAGGGTTATCAATAGTGCCTTGCCACTTTTGAATTTTTTCAGATTGTAGTGTTGCTATTCTAGTCTAATCAGCCAACTGTGACTCTGTGCTGCTTTGGACTGGAAACTAATCTGTCTCATGCTTTTGTTTTTCTTGACCATATGCAATCTGACAATGGTACATCTTTTATTGCAAAAGCCAGTTAGCGGGCTGAGAGTCAAGGTACTTGATGGACCTCTTGCTCTTTTATCCACAGGCGTTTACTGTTGTTGAGTGTTGGAACGGCCTACTCAAAAAATGGACTCAAAAATATTTCTGATTACATCTCTTATCCTGATCAATCCTCATCCTGATCAATACACCTTAGTAAGGCAGTTTGGTCACTGAATGTGGCTGTCCCCAGAAAGCGATCACTTCTTTAATCACTTCCTGTTGTACTAGGTTTCTTTAGAGAGAAAGAACCAATATGTGTGTATTTAAGGAGACGTATTAGAAGGAACTGGCTCACATGATTATGGAAAAGTCCCATGATCTGTGGTCTGAAAACTGGAGCCCCTGGAGAGCCAGTAGTATAGTGCTAGTCTGAAACGAAAGGCTTAAGAATCAGGAGAAGTGATGCTGTAAGTTCCAGTACAGAAGCAGGAAAAGACTCATGCTTGAAAAGGGTCAGGCAGAGTGAATTCTCCCTTACTCCAAGTGTTGTTCTGTTCAGGCCTCCAAAGATTGGATGAGGCCCACCTCACCTACACAGGGAGAGCAGTCTGCTTTACTGAGTCTGTTCAAACAGTAATCTCCTATAGAAGCACCCTCAGACATACCCAGAATAATGCTCAACCAAGTATCTGGAGACCCTATGTCCCAGTCAAGTTGACACAGAAAATTAAGCATCATAGCTACTTACTGAGTAATGATCAGAGAGGGTTTGGGGAGTGTTGTATAGATTTTTTCAGAAAACTCAGTATTCTGCCTTGGCCATTGCTGGATGTGATGTTTTCTTTGCCCTAACAGTGTCTCCAGGTCAGCCTGGTCGCTACACCCTCCTGGTGCAGCCAAGCCTAAAGGAGGCCTAGGGCATCCACTTTTAATTCTGGTTCAGGTGCCTGGATTCTCTTGTTGGCTTGACATGGTCGCAGAACATAACATTCGGGGAAATAGTCACCCCTGGAACCTTCCTCAAAGGAAAGTGGCCTGGTACAGCTCTCCCAAACTGTTGCAAGCTCCTTAAACTCGACTGACTGCTGGGTTTGCCATTTCCCACCAGATGGTGTTGGCCACATTTCGATAGCCATTCCCTTTAACCTATGGAGAAGTCTATTGGAAACATCAGGTGCACTTTCAGCTCAAATACCTCTCGTACAAAACATGTCACGACCTCTTGCTGTTTCCCTCATGCTCATTCTTGATGCTATTGCGCAGTCAACCATGGGGTGGATAAGTGCCACCTGGCTGGTAGTGTGGACATATGAGACAGGTTGGACTAACTGCCATCAGGCAGTCTTTCTAAAAATACGGACTGGTTTCAATTATTTTAAGTGAACTGGGAACTTTAAGACCTACCAGGAGGCCACATTAGGGCATGGTCAGCCTGGGTCCCCTGAATGATGTAGGTTCCCCATGGGAGGCCCCAGCAATATAAACAGGTATCATCATGCCCCCAGGACTGTACTTCTGTGTGGAAGCCAGATATTAACTTGCCTCCCTCCCTGAAATCATGGTGCCTTGCACCATAGGGAGGGCCGTAGGCAACCTTCAAGTGTTTAAAGAAGCACCGTGTTTAAAGTAGATCACTTAACCCTCAGATGACTGTGGAGATTATTCCAAAATGAGGCTACCCTTGGTTACACAGGGAAGCTTCTGGTGGGGCGACTGACTTACTAATGAACACTCTGCAAGAGGTTATCCCTATGTTGAGAGTAATCCTATTGGAAATACTGATAGGAAATTTGTTCTGATTTAAGCTGAAGTGATCAGTGATACCACCACAGCCCTGGAAGTCACACAATACTGGCCAGTGTGGTTATGGATGATAGAATTGTCAACTTCCTCCTGGGCCAATGTAGAGTCTGAAGTTGCTAATACATCATTTTGCTGTACCTGGAATAATGCCTTAGGCCAGGTACAAGGTCAATACAGAAATTACAGAATGCCACCTGTTTACATTAGACCTAAATGGCTTATAGTTTTTATTTTTTATTTTTGTTTTTTGGTGGTGGTTGTTTTTCCACCTGGTTGGGTCAGGGCTCGTGAGCATGGCTGAGGTCCATTCTACAGATTGGTCTTGCCCTGTTGCTTGTGGAGTTCTGTTGATAGATATTATCCTTAATTAAATGCTCTATTAGAACAGAGTGGATTTATCCATTTTTCTGTCAGATTAATCAGAATGGCCATCTGTAAAAAGTGCTGTGGAGGCCAGAGAAGACAAATAGGGACTCTGTGGCATCTTGCTGTACTGATGGACAGTGACTGCAAAGGGGTGTGGTGGGAGACTCGATACCATGGGTGAATGTAGTAACCACACTGTTTTTCATGTGAAACCTTCATAAGAGTGTAATGATACCTTAATTAAAAAAATCACTTTAAAAAAGTGCTGTGGAGGCTAGAAGAGGAGTAACTTTTAGAATGGAGGCTGGGGGGTCCTCATACAGAAAGTAAAATCTGTTTGCTCTGAGTCATAAATGAGCAGCACCAAGTGTGCCCATTTTACAGATGAGGAAACTGAGGCACAGTTTAAGTAATTTACCAACGTCACTCAGCTAGGAAGTGGGAAGTTGCACAGGGAGCCCAGATCTCTTCATTTCCAAATACAGAGATTGCTACTGTTACTGAAAACCGGTTCTTGTCACCGAAACTGAATCACAAAATATCATGACAAGTTTTTGAGAAGAGGAAAGAATTTTCTTTGCCAGCATATGAGGGAAGTGGCATGCTAGTGTCTTAAAGAAGCACTGTCCCGAAGCATGAGCAGTTAGGGCTTTTAAAGGGGAAATTGTGGGGAAGAGGCCAGTGGTGTTCATGACCACAGACTGACTCATCAAGTAGCAATTTGCAGTGTCTGAGCAGACATTTGTGCACGAATTCAATTGTTTTCCTTACTAGTTCCTCACTGGTGCCCTGGGACAGGATGTCTTCAGTTCTGCAGAATCAGCTCTGTGCATCATCTCTGACCCTGTAACTCAGAAGATAAGGGGAACAAAAAGAAATTGCCACCATTAATGCTTACAAGGTTTTGGGGGCTACTTGAGTTCATTTTCAGGTTAATGTTAGTTAAGCCCAGGGATTTAATTCATTTTCCTCTGTTGCACTACTAAACCTTACTGCCTCAGGCATAGGGATAGAAAGGTTTGAACCAATGAAAGAAGTGAGAGAGATTTTGCATAACTAGACATTTTTTAAAAATTGACTAGGTGATCCACAGAGTTGGTGATTGTGAGTTTCCAGAAGGCTGGTGAAGAACCATGGGACTTTGTATGAGTCAATTTTTAAAAATGAAACATTTCAGACAGATAATACAGTTGAAAGAATAATAAAATGAACACCCACTGTTACCTTTTAAAAAAAATACCAATTGAAGTCACTTTAGTACCCTACTTCCTGCACTCCCAGCAGTTACTATTACTCTTGTTATTATTCCTATGCATTTTCTTCATACCTATGTGTCTGCTAACAATATATGGTATTGCTTTACATGTTTTAAAACTTAATATATGGTATTTAGTTGAGGGTTCCTTAGACCACCCCTCTAGGCTCAGAGATTCATTAGAAGGATTCATAGGATGCAGCGTATAGTTGGACTCACAGCAAAGATTCATTACAGCAATGTAGTGAGCACACACACAGCTGGAGTCTCACAGAATTCATGTGTAGGCTGTTCACCTCTCCTGAGGGACTGCACTAAACACACTTTTCTGCCTGCAACAGAAATGCAGCCCATGTGCCAGGTTTCCCATTAGAGACCCAGTTCCCACAGTTTTTGTTGAGGACTGGTATGTGGGCACTCTCTTAGCATGTACCAAAATTCCAGACTCCCGGAAGGAAAGAAGACATATTGTGTCCCGGCTGTGCACAGTCTACATGTTAAAATTGGAATTCTATAGGAAGAGTTATCCTTTCCCTCCCATTTATTTATTCAGTTATTCATATCTCTATGGACTTAAGGGTTTTTATTTTATTCATCGCATTGTAATCTATTTTCTTATTCAACGTAAGTACACATTCATACAATATATAAGGAAATATTAGTGCAAATTTTATTTTTTTAAGCGGGAATGACCCATTGCTCTGGATCTCTGGCCCTTCTGGTGGAGCCCCTTCTGACATCCGGAACCTTTGCTTGACTCTCAGGCTGTGCAGGGAAGTTTTAGACGGTGATACCAATCGGCGGGGACCGAAGATGGGAGGAGGGGGAGGAAATAGAAGGGCCGGGGGCGGAGCCAGGGAGCTGAACGACGGCTGGGAGCCGTGGAAGACCCAGGGAATGAACTTGACCTTGGGCCCGACCGGAGTGACTCTTATCGGAGAGGAAGGGGCCCGCCCCACGCCACAGCCGGGCGAGACTGGCGGCTGGGAAGAACGTGGACAGCCAAGGCTGGGCCGCGAGGGGGCGGGGCGAGGACGGAGATGGGCGGGGTCTTAGCCAAGCCGGTTTGTGGGGGCGGGGCTGACTTCTGGCCGCGTCCTGCCGCCGGCGGCTGCTGCCTGGGTCCTCCTCGGTACCCCCTTCCTCTCCTGCGCTTGGCGTGTGGATCTGCCCGCCCGCGACCTCCCCCCTGGCCCCTCGGTATCTTTGTGTCCGTGTCCGCAGTCTATCTGTCTGTTTCTTTCTTCCGTCTCCCCAGCCTTGATCATTCTTCCGGGCTTCGGTGTCCGAAACGTGAGAGCGCGTTCCCACGCCCAGCTCTGCCGCGAGAGAGACGGAGGAGCCGGGGACCCCCGCTCAGGTGAGCAGGGCTGGGGTCTGGGGAGTACCCGCGACAAGCGGGCCAGGTTCGGCAGTGTTAGAGTCCAGGAACTCAGGGTTTCTCCGAGAGAACAAAGCACACAGGCATGGAGATGTAAATACAGGCAAAGTCTTTATTCAGCCAGCAAGCTGGGGTTGACAGCACCTCCCCTGACACGCAGGCCGAGTCCGAGCTGCCGACCCCCAGGCAACTTTAGGTATTGCTTATATAGGATTTTCACAGCCGTTACACCGAAGCCCGCGCATTTCTACAACCAACAATTTTAAAACACATTCTATATTGTAACCTTTCAGGAAACACTCCAGTTGCCTGACCGCTTCTATTGTTATCTCTTGCTTACCCAAACATGTCTATGTGACTTATCACGGATCACGTCCCCAGGCTGTGCCCACTTCTAGTTATCTAACTTAAAGCAGGCGCATTTCTAAGCTTAGCCTCGGGTTGTTTATTCAAAACTGGGTGGCCCATGCTTTAGGCAGTTAGGTTAAATGTTATTAGTCCTTTTTCCTGACTCTTGATGCCCTCTGCCCTCCTTTACAGGCAGGCCGTCTGGGTTTAGGAAATCCGGTCGGGGCAGTTTTGAGTCAGGCACCCAGTCGGCTAGGCTCTCAGACACAGACAGTGTCTTCTTGGCTAGTTTTGTTTTTGTTTTACTTCCACTGAGTCAAATTTAAGCCTTAGTATTTAGAGATGAAAGGGAACTGAGACTGGGGAAACTTTCCTAGAAAGGGGTCTGTGGGCCGCGGAGAGCCCAAAGCTGGGACTTTTTTGCTACTGACTCATTGAGTGACCTCATGTAAGTTTCCTCCCCTCTGTGGGTCTAAGTTTTCCCGTCTGTATGTACCACGAGAGGAATTTGGGCTACGGGATCTCTGAAGGCCTGACGTACGATGGATGCGCCTTAACTATGAGTTGTTCCTAAAATTAGTTGTTAGGAATGAGTAAATGAGGTAGGCCTCCTGGGGTCCACTGGAGGCTGCCTACTACCCTGGATTAATTGGAGTCTGGAATTACATTGTTCTTGTAGCCTGAGAATTGGTGGTGGTATCCCCATTAAAAGCGAGGAAAAAGAGGCTTAGTGACTTGTTAGTGTCAAAGCCAAGTCAGATGTCAATGTTCCTACAACACTATGCTCTCTCCCAGTTAAGAGAGCAGGGAAGACTTGATTGAAAGGTGATTATATGGAGCAGCAATTAATAATGTGTTCTCTGCTAAAATGAACAACTCTAAAGCAGAAATATATCTGATTTTTCTCTATCCCTAATTCTCAGTGTATAGTTTATGTGAAATAGTTTGGAAGTCTGTGCCAGAGCCATCATCTGTGTCATCAACATGATCAGCATAATCATAATTAATAAAAAGCAATGATAGTGACCATAATTGTTATAGTGGTAGCAAAGCCATAGGTGAAATTGTGAAGACACCAAAATTTATTATGAAGACTTCTAATAGAGTGCTTTAAAGTTTACAGAGCACTTTCAAGTGGTTCTTCATATTGGTCATCTTAGGTGGGTAGCATTATTATCTGCATTTTACAAGCAAGGAATCCAAGACATAATGAGATTAAGTGACAAATACTAGGCCACACAAGTAAGAGGTAGGGCTGGGACGTGAATCCAGTCCCCAGTGACAAGTTGTGCTTGTCCTTTGGTGCTCTCTGCACTCCAGCTCTCTTCCCTTTTTCCTAGCTTGTCTCCCCACTCCATGCCTATCCTGTGCTCCATTCTTTTTCACACCAGAAACTTCCTATTTTGATGTTAACTAATAATCATGTGTTGGCTAATGATTCATAGTGTTGGTATTAACTCATAATTAAAATGCTAGCTTTAGGAGTTTAAAATACCATCTTTCAAAAGGGATTTAAATGCTTTAAATGAAGGGAAGTTGTAACAGTTGCTGTTATTAACATCATCATTATCCAGAGGTTTCAAGGAATAAACTAGAATACTCAGTGATTGACAGTCTAAAAATAAAAACTGTCATATATTCAGCTCAAAATCACATCATGGGCCCTATAACAGCCAGTTAGACTTTTTAACTTAATTCTCCCAACCACTCTACTGAATTTTATAGGTAAGGATCCTGAAGCATAGAGAAGTTAAACAACATGCCCAAGGTCATGTAGGCTGGCCTGGTTCAAATCCTTTATTCTTAACCATTACATCAGCGTGGCTCAGGGACAGATCTTTACTTAGAAGAAGACCCAACCCTCCCTGGCAGGAGAGCCTGGATTGAGGAGAGAGAGGTGTGCTCTAGTTTTGTGTGAAGTCAGTTCACCACTGCCTTTCAGTTCTGTTATTGAGGGCCCAGAATTGGAGGGAGGAGAGGCATTTCCTCTGGACTCAGGAAGCCACCTCCCCTTCCCCTGTACCAGTGAGCCATGGTTCTTCTCTCTAAGTTAGAAACAGGTGAGCAGATGTGTCATTCCTATGCTATTGTTGGGAGTTTGTCTTGAGTGCCACTAGGGGGCTGTAGCCAGAAGCAAACCTTCCAGTTCATTGCCCACAAGACTACCAGAAAGACTGGTGATCTGCCGAAAACTCCTAAGTTGCTCTCTGTGGAATAAACACCTTAATAAGGTACCAAAGCTTCCCAGGGTCTGGACTCCGCTGACACCTTCAGTCCCATCTCTGCTCGCAGCTTTTGCACCATGCCATGGTTCATATTGAGCTACTGGGAGACCCCATGGCTCACTATGTTTTCTATCACCTAGACTTTTCATATGCACTCCCACTGCCTTTCTTCTTTTCACTCTTCCATGGGCTAACCCACTATTCATCCTTTAAGATCCAGCTCACCCATTCATTCAATCATTCAACAAATCTGTGTCTCATGTCTCTCAGTTCCCAGGCAAGGTTCTTGGTATAGAGGTGCAGCAGTGTCTCTGCCCTTTATGGAGCTTCTGTTCTAAAGTACATATGAAACAAGTTTAATGTGGACGATCAGTGCATGGAGAATAGAGCCGGGACAGGAGATAAGGAGGGGCAGGCAACAGCTAAAGGAGGTCAGGGAGTGTGCTCTGTGGCTATCCAAAAGAAGAATTCCCAGGCATAGAGTGTAAAGATAAGAGATCTTTATCTTCTGATAAAGAATTCAGAGCATACAGATATAAAAGGCACTTGGCTAAGTAATTATGCCTCCAAAAATCCTCTGCTGCCTTCATATGGACAGATAGCCTTTCTTGGTTTTCTCACATGCTCTCATGTTTACTTCTAAAGTAGCACTTATTACATGATACTGTAATTGTCCATATGTATGTCCATTTCTGTCACTTGATGGGGATTTCTGGAGGGCTGAGAACTCTGCTTGCTATCTGTCTCGCAGCACCCGGTTTATGGTCTGACTTGGAGTAGGCACCCAGAAATACTAAGTAAATGAATAAGTTCTTACTTCCTGATCATTTTTATAGATAATTTTTTATAGATAATTATAGACATTGCCTCCTTTATGCTGTTGAGACCATGATGTTCCCTTGTATAAAAAAAAATAAACATTTGAGCACATCTGTGCCCTCTTGCCTGGGTTAGATTGGGGTTGGATGATAGATGGTAAGGAAAAAAAAAAGAATTCTAAGCCTGGTTCTGATGTCTGACTTGATTCCCTTTTTGGGCCGCTAAGAAGTAAAACATCTGATTTTCTTTGAGAAGTATACCTGGAGACTTACATTTTTCAACATTATGGCAGACTAGCTAACTCATAATGTATGTAAGTGGTGCATATCATAAAAAAGTCCTTTACAGCTGAGTTTGCAACAAAGAAAGAGAAGTTCCCAGGGCCTAAAAACTGAGAGTAAACTAAAAACTGAAGTAGTTAGCATCTTAACTTGACCTCAGATGCCCTGGATATTTGCTCATCTCACCTACCTAGAAATTTAGGCTTTAATAGACCTGCTGTTAAAGTGAATGGAACCAAAGGCCCCCATGTGTCAGACTCTTGTTGGAACGGAGATTTCCGCATACAGCTGGGTCCCTTGAAAATCTACACCCTAGGAAGAAAAAAAAAAAATCAACTATTGATAGAGAGATGACAAAGAAGATTGCCTCTAATCCTAGGCTCCAGTAGAGGGGAAAAGTTTCCGTGGAGAATTCTTAACCACAGATGTTCCCATATTTGGAGTAGGGTTTTTATTTAGATTATCCGAATGGCCTAAAAACTCTGTCCAGAAAGTGACATTAATGTTAGGCTGGAGGAAGGAAAAGCAGGGACATGCAAACAGAGCAGAGAGATACCATGGAAGGAGAACGGACCAGACCCCAGGGTCCATGCCTTGTATAGAGGGGGGACAGCTCTTCCTGAATTCCATCCTTATGATGTGCCAACTAAGACCCGGATGTCAGCCTCCTCCCTCTTGGAAGGAAAAAAGTTTCTAGTTGTCTATTATGTCACCTTTAGCCAATCATACCTCTCCACACCCCCTAAGATAGCTTGCCCACTCCTCCCCCTCCTAACCCCTTATAAGCCCCCATGTCCCTGACTGAGTGTGACTTCCCCAGCCTGTGACAGCCAGACCACAGAACATCACCCTGGAATTTGCATTCAAATAAACTACCTGGCCCTTTGTTGCCTCTCTTTGCCTGCTTATTTCAGCTAGAATTTACCTTACAATTAGAAACTATCTGGGCTGGAAATACCCCTGGATGCTTGGCAGAAGCACATGCAGAATACATCTGAGAGACATGCTTGACACAGGCTGCATAGGATTCCCATAGAGTCTGGGGGATAGATTTGTCAAATGAAATGCATATTGCTTCCTTTGTGCTGTTGAGACCGTGATGTTCCCTTGTATAAAAAAAAATAAACATTTGAGCACATCTGTGCCCTCCTGCCTGTGATCCCCAGAATGGCATGACAGAGCAGAACTTGCATACAAGCCAGTGTGGATACACATTGAGCTGCCTCCTTTCCTTGCAGAGGTCATGGAAGAGGTGACATCGTGCTCCTTCAACAGCCCTCTGTTCCAGCAGGAAGACAAGAGAGGGGTCACCTACCGGATCCCAGCCCTGCTCTACGTGCCTCCCACCCACACCTTCCTGGCCTTTGCAGAGAAGCGCTCCACGAGCAGGGATGAGGATGCCCTCCACCTGGTGCTGAGGCGGGGGCTGAGGACTGGGCACTCGGTACAGGTGACTCCTCATCCCAGCTCTGGCCCTGGGCCTCAGTTTCTCACCACATTGCTCAGAGCACTTCAGGTTCTGTGCCTTTTCCTATAAGGGCAGGAAAAGGTCTGTATGGGGCTGAGGAGGAAAAACAGAGCAATGGCTCTCAGAACTTGTAAGTACTGAATACTTCTGGTGTGCTGGGGGCACTTTGGATCCTCACAGCCACTCTGTGACATAGAAACTGTTGTCGGTCACATTTTACAGGTGAGAAAACTGAAGCTCAGGGAGATTGCCATTTGCTCAAGGTCATACAGTATATTAAGGCAGTGGAAGCAGTCTTCAAATGTGGCCTCTGATTCCAAAGGCCTTCGTGGTTCATTCAGGTTCAGCGTGCTTTTTGTTCACATTCTCTTTAATCCTGGTAAGCCACCCAGGGAAGTAAGCATTGTTAGTCCAGGCTTGCTGATGGGGGATCCTTGTGCTCCAAGAGGTAGGTAGCTTGTTCAAGACCACAAGTAGCAGATGATGGTGGGGAGGATAAACACAGCCTCCCACCTGCTTTATGTGAGGTACATATCATTAGCCCTCTTTTACAGGAGGAAATGGGCTGAGAATTAAAGTGACTTGACTTGGGCACATACATCAGCAGCAGCAGAACTGAGGTTGGAGCCCTTGTCCCTAAGAAGCACATCTTACTGCATTTTTTAATACTAAAAATATGTTTAGTTGACATACAAAATTATATTAGTTTCAGGTATACAACATAGGAATTCAGCCATTATATACATTATGAAATGCTCACCATAGTAAATATAGTTATCATCTGTCACCGTTCAAAGATACTACAATGTTAATGACTATATTCCCTATGTTGTACTTTAAATCCCTGTGACATATATTTTATAATGGAAAGTTTGTACCTCTTACTTATTTTGTATTTGAAAGTTTGTACCTCTTTATTCCCTTCACCTATTTCATCTGTCCCCCCTGATGCCCCTCCCCTCTGGCAACCACCAGTTAGTTCTCTGTATTATTTTCCTTTTGTTTGTGTTGCGTTTTGAATGGGGAAGGAATGGTTGCTGCACTTGGGCCTATGAGCTACAGGGTTATTTCAGATCCCATTTTTCCTACTGTCAGCTTCTTTTATGTCCCAGAGCTGGCTGAAGTGAGGATCTGATGCAACAATGGATTTGAAAGTCTGGTGTAAACAACAAAATACATATACTTTAATCTGCTTTTCTGCCCACAGAAAGCTCACCATTAACACTTCACGTCCATAGACATGCTTTTTTTTGCTGTGAGTGTGCAAATGCTATTCTGCTGAAGGGAGGCCTTGCCGGCAGCCTGTCTTTGCTTCTGATGACTTGCTCACATTTCCCTGTGGGGAAGTGTTTTAGTTTGGGGCATTTCCTGTCCCTGATCTTCCACCTTATCTTGTCATGTGCCTTCCTTACAGCTTCCCAGAACTAAGCCTTTGTTGGCATCCCCAGCCTCCAAAGAGACCAAGCCCTGCAGCTTGGAGCCGGCTTGGAGTTCCAGTGCTTCCATTTCCTCCAGGCAAGCATTGCCTGTGGTCATGTTACCCTGCTGTCTATCAAGGACAGTTGGGCTGTTAAGCATTTTTCATCAGACCTACCTGTTGTTTAACTTCACTACCCAATAGTCACACACATGCACAAACATGGCCACTTTAGCTGTGTCATTTTATTCACTTTGATTCTCTAATTTATTTAACTGGCTTCTTGAAGGTAGACGACTCATCAGCCTAACTTCTCTCCTAGTACAGAAATCTTCTGTATTCCATTGGTAGCTACTAACAGCTTAGTGGTTAAGAATGTGGCTTTGGAGGCAGGGAAGACCTACCACTTAGTGGCTGTGTGACCCTGGGGACTCAGTCCTTCTCTGTTTCCTCATCCACCAAGTGTAATTAATAATGGCAGTTACAGAGTAGGAACGTAACATTAGTAATCTATAAAGGGCCTGCTTTCCTCAAATGAGGAACTTAAGCCTGTGGCAATTGTTAACTTTTTCTCTGGAATGGGATGATCTATACTTCTAATTACCCACTGGGCTTGTTCTGCCTTCAGGGGCAGCCAGTCAGTCTGTATGTAACATAATATCTTTCCCAGAGAACTGCGCTTTGATGTACCTGCAAGTAGTAGTCATGCCTCTTGAGTTTTCTCTTTTTGGGCCTTAACAGCTTTAGTTCTTTCAGTAACGCCTTAGGCCACAGGCTTGATTTGGTTTCTGGTTCCATCAAAACTATTGATTACTGTCGTTAGGATCTGGTCTGTGGTATCAGGCTCTTTTTCTTTCTTTTCTTCCTTCCTTCCTTTTTCTTTTGATCTTCCTCTCTTTTTAAAGATATTGTGTAGCTCCTATAATGTGCTGGGCAGTGGAGATACAAAATTAGAATAATTGGGTTTATACTCTCAAAAGACTCATAGTCTAGGAAGGGAGCCAGTCATAAAACTGTGTTATGGAAGTGCTGTAACTCCTCTGCATGTATCAAGAGCAAGCCATTGGTTGCCTTTGGTAGGGAAAGGGAGGAAATTTCACTGAAGTTTTCATAAAGGAGGTAACTTTTGAGTTGGGTTTTTTTGTGTTTTAATATTAAGGTATCATTGATATACCTTAATCTTATGAAGGTTTCACACGAGTAAGTTTGTGGTTACTATATTCACCCCTATTAACAAGCACCCCCACCACACCCCATTGCAGTCACTGTCCATCAGTGAAGTAAGATGCTACAGAGTCACTAGTCTTCTCTGTGCTATACTGCCTTCCCTGTGACCCCCCTACATTATGTGTGCTAATCATAATGCCCCTTAATCCCCTTCTCCCTCCCTCCCCACCCACTGTCCCCAACTCCTTCCCTTTGGTAACTGCTAGTCCCTTCTTGGAGTCTGTGCGTCTGCTGCTGTTTTCTTCCTTCAGTTTTGCTTTGTGTTATACTCCATAAATGAGTGAAATCATTTGGTACTTGTCTGTCTCTGCCGGGCTTATTTCACTGAGCATAATACCCTCTAGCACCATCCATGTTGTTGCAAATGGTAGGATTTGTTTTCTTCTTATGGCTGAATAATATTCCATTGTGTATATGTACCACCTCTTTTTTATCCATTCATCTACTGATGGACACTTAGGTTGCTTCCATTTCTTGGCTATTGTAAATAGTGCTGCGATAAACATAGGGGTGCGTATGTCTTTTTGAATCTGTAATCTTGTTTTCTTCAGGTAAATTCCTAGGAGTGGAATTCTGGGTCAAATGGTATTTCTATTTTAGATTTTTGAGGAACCTCCATATTGCTTTCCACAATGAACTAAATTACATTCCTACCAACAGCGTAGGAGGGTTTGAGTTCAGTTTTGGAAGGTGAATTGGGCATCTACAGAAAGTGAGGAAGAGTATTCTAGACTGAGGGGACAGTATATAAACATTTAGCATTGCCTCTTTCTATCTTTATAAGTCATCCTGTAATACTTGACAATTAGTGAATGCTTGGGCCTTCACAATTTTATAGATCTCAATACTCTTTTATTTTTTATCTCTGAAAATTACCGGTGTTTTGAATGAGCCTCATGCCTGCTGTTTCTCAGTCCTTCTCTCTCTCCCTTCCCCTTGTCCAGTGGGGTCCTCAGAAGCCACTGATGGAAGCCACATTACCTGGGCATCGCACCATGAACCCCTGTCCTGTGTGGGAGCAGAAGAGTGGCTGCGTGTACCTATTCTTCATCTGTGTGCAGGGCCTTGTCACTGAGCATCAACAGATTCTGACAGGCAGGAATGCTGCCCGCCTCTGCTTCGTCTGCAGTCAGGATGCTGGCAGTTCATGGAGTGAGGTGAGGGACCTGACTGAGGAGGTCATTGGCCCGGAGGTGAAGCGTTGGGCCACATTTGCTGTGGGCCCAGGTCATGGCATCCAGCTGCAGTCAGGGAGGTTGGTCATCCCTGCATATGCCTACTACATCCCTTACTGGTTCTTTTGCCTCCGGCTACCGTGTATAGCCAGGCCTCATTCCCTGATGATCTACAGTGATGACCTAGGGACCACGTGGCACCGTGGCAAGCTTATTAAGCCCATGGTGACAGTGGAATGTGAAGTGGCAGAGGTAAGTGGGAGGGCTGGCCACCCTGTTCTGTATTGCAATGCCCGGACACCACACAGGTGCCGGGCGGAGGCACTAAGCACTGACCGCGGTGAATCCTTTCAGAGACCAGCCCTGAGCCAACAGCTCTGTGAGCCCCCGCATGGCTGCCAGGGCAGTGTGGTGAGTTTCCGACCTCTGGAGATCCCACATGGGTGTCAGGACTCTAATGGCAAAGATGTTCCTGCTATTCAGCAGAGTCTTCTGCTGGACAGCTCCCCAAAGCTACAGCAGGAAGCTGGAACACGGTCAGAATCATGGCTCCTGTACTCACATCCAACCAGTAAGAAACGAAGGGTCAACCTAGGCATCTACCTCAACCAGACCCCTTTGGAGGGTGCCTGCTGGTCCCATCCCTGGATCTTGCACTCTGGGCCCTGCGGCTACTCTGATTTGGCTGTTCTGGAGAATGAAGGCTTATTTGGGTGTTTGTTTGAGTGTGGGACCAAGCAGGAGTTTGAGCAGATTGCCTTCCGCCTGTTTACAGCCCGAGAGATCCTGAGCCGCATGGGGGAATGCACCGGCCCTGGGAGGAACTATGAGCCAGTTCCAAACTAATTGGCTTAGGACCCAACTTTCCAGACAAGGGAAACCAGTGAAGGCAACCGTAGGCAGGATAATGGAGGAGGCTGGGTTAACAGGTTACCGAAGTCTACGGAGAATCCAAAAACTTAATATTCTGCTTCCTATCCTTTTTCACTTCTCCTTCTCCAAAGAACAAAATGAGAATTTGCCATAGCTCCTGCAGTGGAAAGAGCACTCATCTGTGAGTTGGGAAATCATGATGTGGTCCTGGCTGTCCCACTGGCTTGCTTTGGGGCCTTAGACACGTCACCCGAACTTTCTGGGTCTCAGGTCCCCATCTGTAAAAGGAGAGGATTGGTCCTGTGATTTCCCTGCTTCCCAGCCTTAGGAAAGGCAGAGTGCCTGCACACTCCATGATCAGCAAGTAAGTCCTGGATGCACATAGGACTCTGATCTCAGAATGGAAGTCAGAGGATTCATCTTTTCAATGACTCGTCACTCATCCACGTGTGAGGTTACAAGCAGGAAGATCTAGATGGTTCTGTTTTTAATAACAAAAACACCCACACCCTTCTAATCATGCTCAAAGCTCTACAGGCTCTATCCTAGAGGAAATGGCAAACAGTGGAATCATGAGGTCACCTACCTTCTCCCACTTGGCAGCTCTGCTCAATCTTTCCTTCCTCATCCAGAAAGCATTATGTCCAGGGAGAAAATGAGGATCTCAATGCCAGTGTCCTTGATAATGGTACTTATTGTTTCTAATGGTATTACTCCTATGAAAGATGAACCTGAAGTTCATTTATTTATTAGGATGGTTCCTGACAGGGAAATAACATGGGTTAGGATTTTAAAGCATTGGACAAAACTCTCCATGGTCTCTGTGCTCAAGGAACTCACAGTGTATGGGCTATTGGAGAAAATTCAAGAAAATAAATGCAGTTGGTGGGATAGTTTGTAGACGTTGGGCTCTAAGTTGGGATGACAGTAGCTCCTGAGGCCATTGTCTTAGTTGTGTGTCTTTATTGTGCATGTGGTCATCATCTGCCCCAGGACTTATCCAGGGTGCCAGGTTTCCTCCAGTTTTGCTTTTCTCAGAATGTTATCCTGTGCCAGCTACTCCTTTACCCATGGAGACAGTCTTCACCATTGGGAAGTTCTCTGAATCAGACATGAGTTTAGACCTACTGAAGTCACTATGTATGAAGGAATGGCTCTTTGTCTAGTAGGTTTGGGGCTGAGCTTTGCCAATGCTGGGTCTCAGATGATACTAAACTGGCTGCTTCTATTTTATTGTTTCCCCTGTAGACTGTTAACTGTGCCAAAATCCTATTACGAGAGATTTCTTTTTTGTTCCTATTTTAGGAGGATGATGCCTTAAACTGGTATCAGGTAACTATCCTTGCTGCTGAGTAGTGACTCTGGAGAGCAAGTCTTAGTCACAGATACAGCCTAGGAGGCTAAGAAGTTGCATTTGTACCAGTCAGATGGGGGAGAGTCCTGCAGAAGGAAAGTAGAGATTAACTTCACCTACTTCAGCATATGGTTTAAATGGTTTAGAGTGGCATTTTAAAATTCCCTTAGCCTCACATACCTTTCCCAAAGTTTTCTTCCCAGCACACAGTTATGTTCAGTCATTCACTCATTTATACACTTACCTAAGTATTTCTTGAGTGCCTATGTGTGATGTTAGATACTTTCTGTTGCTATTCTCTGGTTGAAAATCTTCAGTGACTCCTTACTGCCTACGAAAGGTGTTCACATTTAGCCTGGCATGTAGGCCCTTCAGTTGTTGGGTGAAATAACGAATACTTGTAAAGCCTGCTGTCAGAGAAGACCTCTGTCAAGTTGGCAAGTGGAGGAGGGTAGGAGTTGGGAGCGGGCAGAGTTGGTGGTGCAGGGAGAAACTGGAGAAGGTGGGCATTAGAAGGGCAGCCCCCTCCCGAGGAGTAGAAACTTCTTGTTCAGCAAAGCCTTCCTGAGCCCTGTACCCCAAATAGATAGGAAGAGGGAGGATGGCTCAGTTCTACAACCAGAGACAAAGGATGGAGCGATCGAGAATATCAACTCCTTAGGGACCATCCACAAAGAGGGTCAAGGAAGGGAGCTGTGCTGCATGCTGGTGTGGTCCGGACCAGCATTCACGTCTCATCCATCTCTAAATTGTCCTTCTCTTTCTCCTTTCCCTTGGCTTCATGTTTGAATCTCCTTCATGACGAGCAGAGAAACTCTTCATAGGCAAAGTGCCTAAGTACATATTTGGGAAATAACAAAATAAGACGGTTGGGGATGGGGGTGATCCAGTATGAGGATTAGAGAAATGACGAGTGGATGATGACAGCTGAGAAGAGAAAGGACAGTGGCAGGAGTCCTGGCACCTTTTGGGAGCAAGAGAAAGTGGCACAGACATGAGGCCAGGCTGGAGAAGTGATGGAGGTGGTGGCCGCTATGAAGAAATGGTAACAGACAGGAACCATTCCCTGAAACATGGAAGGGAAGCAGAGGCCTGCCTAGGCCATCAGGTTAGGCTGCAGCTAAGTTCCTGCCCAGCCCCATAGCTTTAAGCCAACTCGACTTAGCCAGGTTCCAGGCAACCTACAAAAACTGCTACAAGCACTCCAGGTCGGTGGCAGTTACCCAAAGTCTTCGGGGCCCAGGGCCCTGTACCATGGTACTGGTAGCCAACCTGAGCCCATTTCAGCCCCTCTCGGGTCGGCAGAAGGGAGAAGACAGGGCAGGTGGTGGCAGCTGAGAAGAAAAGAGGAAAGCAGACCAGAGACTTGTAGTCTAGAGGTGTGAAGAAAGGACTATGGAGGCTGCGCGTCTTTGCCCCCAGATCCACCCCCCTGCCCTTGGGCCCTTAGGATGGCCCCATCCAGCCTGCAGGGCCCTCCACACAGGCGGGGCCTCCTGCTGCTTGTATGTGCCCAGACTGGCCTCCCACCATTCACCCTCTGGTTCTGCCCATGCTCCCTCCCTCCTGGGCTCCCAGTATTTTACCTCAGGTCCTTGTTACTTGGATGCTTTATTTGGGCCTGTTTCTCCCGGTCACCAGTCCCCCCTCAGATGTCTGTAGGTATCATGAACTGTGGCCACAGGTGAGAGACCCTATGCCCTACCTGTCGGGTAGCCCAAGGGGCTCCTGAGGCTGCTGAGTTTTTGCCAGTTGGCTATGGGTTTTCCTTGTTGCATTATTCAGTAGGTGTTGTGTCATCCTTCTCTGTGCTGCCATAGTGCACCATCTGAGCCTCCTTTTGGTCCTTACCACAGGCTGCCCTGTATTACTGTTGTCTGTGTTAAGTAAGCCCTGTAGGCCTCTGCTAGGCTGTGAACTCCTTGAGGGCAAGTCTCTGACTCCTCTGTGTCCTTTTTACCTTGTCACAATGATTTATTTATAAATACATGCTTTTTCTGTCATAAGCTGAATTCCCTGAAAGTAGGGACTGTGATTCCTCTCTGTCCTCTGCATCCAGCACAGGGCCTGGCACAGAATAGACAGCAGTCACTAATGCTGAATGAATAAAGGAGTCAAAGACCTGGGCCTCCTGGAGCTAACTGAGAAGGCCAGGGCAAGGTCCCCCATAGGGAGGAAGAGGTTGCATCCCTCCAGGGATGGCAGAGCTTTCTAAACCTGCTGAACGCTCACCCTAACTGGGTCTTCTCTGTGTTGGCCTGCTTCCACGTGAGTCACAGAACTTGCTGGGAATGAGCTTTTCTCTGGTTTGAGCTTGGTCCTGCCTAGATGTCCCAGGATCACAGCCCAAGCCCAAAGCCAAGCTCTGATTTGGGGTTCTCATTTCACTGGTTTCCTCTCTGTCCCTGGTTGGATTTTTGTAATGGCCACTCCCCCAGGACTCAGAGGAGATGCTGGGGTCCAGTGTGTTCTGAGCGTGTCTCAGCTCTGATGCCAGGCACCAGGTATGCTCTCTGTACTGCAGGAGCTACCACGACTCTGAAACAGAAAGATGAATAAAGAGCTTAATTTTAGTGACTACTGTTTTTGTTTTTATCAAGGAAACAGATGATTATCATCCTAATACTCCTATCTAGTCTGTACCCAACTTCTTTCAAAAAGTGGATTTGAGCAACTTCTTTTCATAAGAACTTTTACTTCAGAAAACTTAATAATTCTTTGCACTTGGACACATGTCATTGGAACATAGCTACCTATTGAGGGAAGCAGGGCAGAGATTACCATGACTGGTTAGATTGCATATTATACAGTAGCCATTAAGTGGAGGGGTGAGGATGTGCAGAATCGCCCCATCTGACACCAGCCCCAGCATGTGTCATTGTGTCTTGTCTTATTTTTCAAAACACCTTGAGGTTATTCTCAGATTGTAGCTGGAGAGGCCACAAATGCTTAACTCAATAAAGGGAGGTGATAAGTTTAACTTAACTCATGATTTTTACTTGACTTTCTGCTTGTTCAGTTGAGATGCTTAATGTTTTGCCAAATGTTTCAGGATAACTCCGTAAGTTCTGTCTGTAGGTCAGTCTGCTTTCTGAAAAAATTTACTATTGAAAAAGTTTCAAATGGATATATCTTCATCATATGACTGAGTCATATAATAATGAAAGAGTACTAATTTACCTCTTAAAAATAGTTTTATAAAAATTTATATATTATATAACCAAAAACAGTTTTATTATAATCCTTTTGGAAATCCAATGATGTATTTTATATTTGTGGGTTTTGTTAGATTGCTTAGTGTTTGAAGAACCTTTGGGCTGGAGAGAAATATGCATAAACTTTAGTGCTCAGAATTTTTAACTCATAGTCAATAAAACATTGATGATCTCTTGAATATTTGAACAATAACAAATTTGATTAAACTGCCTTAAACATCGGTTGCAAATTTAGTATAACTGATTCTTTTTGAACATTGCAAACACCATAAATAGTAGGTAAGTCCAGTGATTATAAAACACATCCCTATACCAAAATGGAGAACAAAAGAGTCTTGGCTTTGTTACTTATACCGTTGGGGGGTTCTTACTTTTAAACCCTTCTAGGGTTTTAGTAACTTTACCAGATATCTTTCTCCCTCACCTTCCTAGGGATTTATAATAGCAGATCCAAAGTCACAGCATACCGTTTCAGACAAGCTTGCTTTCCACTGGGAGCATTAAATTGAGAGGCAGGAGGCCGGGAACCGCAGCCTGCCATCTTATCCTCTGGGTCGGTGGAGAATGCCTGAGGGTGGGACCAGCTGGAAAGAGTGGGGTCGGCCGAAACAGCCCTGATGACCCACTAGGGTCCTCCCTGTTCGGGGAACCTATAACCCTCCAACCTGTATTTGATTTTTACTTGATCTACTTCTTAAGTGATTTTGAGTTGGATGTATATAGCTTGCAACCAAAAGAATATAAATACCTATCTTCACAGGAAATTAGGTGAATAGTTACCACGACCTGTTAGTCACTACCTGGAGCAGAACTGCAGGCCATGAGGAATTAATTTTCAAAATAGTCTACTAAAGTTTGATTAACAGTACTAACTAAAGGGTGTATTACCAGGAGATACATCAGGATAGACTGGAGAATGGACTGGACGAGGATGAGTCAGGAATCCAGAGTCTTTGTCTAGAGCTTGCCACTGACATGATGGACAACTTTGTGCCAGCCACTGGCCCTCTCTGGGAGCCTGTTTAATTCAGCTACAGCAGGTGAATGATCTTTGCCCTGCCACTCGTCAGGGAGTTACAAGAATCTCATAAGGGTTTAGGAAACAGTGCAATGCCACATAGATAGAAGATAAGTTACCTTCCACCCACTGATCTCCATTATCCAGCATTGGCAACACTGACAATTGAATGCTGAAAATAAGGGTGATGGATGGAGTGGAAAGGAGAGGCAGACAGGGCCCCTGAGGAGGGCACTCCAAGGTGGGACAGCCATCTTGCCTCACCTGTGGTAGGTCCTTAGCAAACTGCAGGCCCCAGGACTTGGCTAACCTTCTGACTTTGTCCTATGCCTTTTGGTCTCTTTCTTCCCAGCCTGGGTATGGAAGAGGGAAATCTTAGCCCCAGGTGGGAAGGGACTTGCTCTCAGTCATCTCTGTGCTCTATGCCCACCGTAGGGCCAGGCACAGCACAATATAGGAAAGAATGATGCAAGGGGAGTAATAACATTTGTAAAGTGCCTACTGTGTGTTTTTAAGTCATACATTCTCTCATTTAATTCCACAAAGTGTTTTAGAGATAGGGAAGTTGAGACTCAGTTAAGGTTACATGATATGTTCCAGTGTCATACATCTGTAAGTGATGAAGGCATATCTGATTCCAAACCTTTATTTTGGTCATATGGCAACTAAGAGACCAAATTGTGGGTGATGCTTACCTTGGAAGTTGATGTAAGGCAGAGATAGTGCCTCTTCAGTCCCTTGGCACATAGTGGCTGTTCAGCTGCTGGAAGAGGCTGATAGTGACGAACCCGTAGGAATAATGTGTCTCCCAGGGCATTAGGGTGGTCTGTCAAACCTTCTGTTTCATCTGAGAGAAATGCATTGGTTTTTCTTGGAATTCCTGAGCTAGCTGGAGCTTATTTTCTAGTACCCCCAACCTTCAGAAGAGCAGCCTCCCAAGACCTACAGTCATCCTAAATAGCTTTTGTTGTCATCAACTAGGTATAGAATTAGAAATGAGAGTGTGGATGCTCTTGAGGGGTAAACATAGAACTCAATAGCAAGTGACACTGACTTAGTGCCAAGTGACAAAGTCAGAGGCCTGTAGGCACTGGGCAGGTCTCTGCTTGAGCCCCACGTTGAGAAGGCAGCTCTGCGTCTTTCCCCTTCCAGCCAGTCCCTGAGCTGTACCCAGCGGTCAGGTCTGAGCCCATCACGCAGTGTGGGTGGTCCTCCAATACACTGTCTCTAATCCTCACAACAACAAGGAAGCAGGACGTTATTGTCCCCAACCTACGGACAAGGAAACAGTCTTGGAAAGATGAAATGATTGGGCAAGTATCTTAACTATAATTTCTTCATCTGTGAAAACTAGGATAATAAAAGCATCACATAGGGTTTTTGGGGAGGTTAAGTGAGAACATGTATTTAAACTTAAAAGTGCCTGCTATGTAGTAGATATTAAAAAACTGGGATCTTCCGTAATTAGGATTTTCTCCTGTAGTAATTGTATTAGCCCATCAGGTGTGTGCAGTGTGTCAGCAGCACTTTCCAGGTTTATGTGTGCATAGGAATCACCTGGAGAGGTCTTACAAAATAGGCTCCCGCCCTCCATCCCCACCTGCAAGAATCTTAGCAGATCTCGTGGGGGTGGGAGTGGGGTTGGGGGCGAGAACTGGCATTTCTAACAGGCTCCCAAGTAATACTGATGCTGCAGGTCCATGGGCTGTGCTGGAGTAGCGTATCCCAGTACCTAGCTCTCCGTCTGTTACCTCGCTCCTGCTCCCACTCTCACCAGCCCTGTGCCATAGCAGGAACACAGACTCCTACAACTAATGTCCATGTGGAACCAAATTTTATTTGCCAAACAGGTGTCCAACTTGTGTCTCTAGGCCCAGTGAGTTGTATCTTTCCTGGGTCAGAAATTGAGCTTTCCCATGGCATGGTAATTGCCAGGGCTTCCCATTGATTTTCTTGCCAAATCTTGCAGAGGTTAAGGTGACACCACAGCTTGGGCACAGACCTGGGCCTGTGAGCATAGGGAGCTTTTCCATCTGTAAAGCAGGCTTGCAAGGACAGGGCTCAGCCAAGGACCAGGGGCAGCAGTGGTCAAGGAGACCTTGGGCTGCCGAGGACTCAGCTCTCCGAAGAGGGGCTTTTTATGCCTGCAAAGGGTAGTGAGGGTCAGCACAGAGCATGAGCTAAGCCTGGACAGTTGCCAAGCTAGAGATTGCTGAACTCCATCGGTACTGAGGATGAAATGTGAAATTCAGGAGGTGAAGGGAATGGGGCTCTGTGGTACCCGCCCATTAGACAATAATCTGACCCTATGCCTGGTCTGGACCATCATTTTCTGATCATGACGGCCACAGTATGTGTGATCATAAGGCAAAGTCCTGTGCACCCTTCTCCTTAGCTCCCCTCAGGGGCCCCAGTCCCAGAATTCTTTGGGGTCAAAACACTGGGAAATGGTCAGGAAGCTGCAGTGCCTGTCCTGCACTCTGTGCCTGGTTTGAGAGCTCAGGTTTCCGTGTGGAGGTTGAATGAGGGTTAGAGTCCACAGAGTTTGGGTCAAGGCCAAATCCTATGGGCAGGTGTGAGCTCTGAGGGGAGGGTGCCATGCCCATTTGTTCGCCGTGTTACTCCAACCCCTGGGATAGTAGGTACTCAATAAAAATGTGTTAAAAGAATGAAAGAATGGCCATTCCAGTTTCAATCACATGGAGAAGTAGAGGTCTTCCAAAATTAGGGGCTCAAAAGTGAATCTTCGGCAGGGCAGGACACTCCTGCCTTTTCTGACTTCACTCCTTTGGTTTGAAACTCCATGGCAGCTAAGTGACCCAAAGGAAGATCCCTGGTAACTTGAGTTAAAGTGAACCCTGGATTCAGGGAGGTGCTGTTACGGGGATCCCAGGCTGGAGGAGGAACAACTTCTTTGCAGTTCTAGTAGTCCAGGTTCCCACCATGGTCTGTGCTGTTCCTGGAAAAGCTTTCTTAAAGGCTGATCTGAGCACTGCAGCCTGGTGTCTGCTGTGATGTCAGCACTGGGGGATCCAGGTGAGCACACTTGGCCTGGAGTCTTGAGAGTGGAGAGCAGGGCTCCCAAGGCCAGTGCGGTGGCGGCAGCCGGGACCCTTGAGAGAAGACTCAAGGGGCAGCAGAATCTTAAGGCCAGAGTCTGGGGTGTCCGCTGCCCTCCACTTCTCATGTGGATGCTCCCCTCTGCCAGGGTGTAGCAGTTTCCTCACTGCTCTCAGGAGGTGGGGGGCTGGGGCTTGGGGGTGGGGTTCCATGCTGGCTATCCAGGCCTGTGAGAGTCTCAGTGTGTCAGGAGCTGCAGGTGGGAGCCCATGGTCCTCCTGCTAAGACCAGAGTTGGGATGTGGTGCAGATCCTCTCCCATCAGACCTCCCTGAGCCTAATGGGGCCTGATCAGGATCCACAGCTGCAGACACACGTATGCCTGCTCAGGACCTAAGACTGATGGGTTCCAGATTCAGGAGCTCAGGTGGGTGATGTGTTTGGACAGGGCTGCTGCTTTTGGTGCATCACATGAAAACATCTGGCCAAGTTAAGTGGGGCCTGAAATCCACTTAGCATGATCCAACACAGGCCATGCACTTTTTTCTAATTAGAACAGAATAGACCATGGGAAACCCTGGGTGTGGGTGTCTGAGGTGGGGCTGAGCACGGCCGCCTGAGACTCTGAGCCGGGAGCCCATGCCAGGCTCCCTTGGGGGATGCTGGGATCGAGGGCTGGCTCTCCTCCTCGCCGTGTCTGAGAGGTTGACCTGGGCCCAGGATGTGCTTGCCCTGCATGCAGTCCACTCTCAAAAGAGGCCTCTATATTGACAGTGGGACCTCTGGCCTGTGGGTGGGGATTAGTAAAATACTTTTTCTGTGAAAAGACTGGGAGGAAGGGAGGGTAACAGTCAAATGACATTTAGGAGAATGTAATGAATTGAATGAGGCAAATGATAGGGAATTAGGGTTAGCCTGGGAGTGAAGAAGAAGCTCGGAGCAGACGTGAAGGCTCCTAGTCCTGTCAGAGTGGGTCTTAGTCTTTTTCTGGCTTCCCTCCCTGTGCTCCCTCCTTCCTTTTTTTTTTTTTAATACCAGTTGTGTGAGACCTTGGGCAATTTATTAAACTCTCTGAGCCTGCATTTCTGCTTTGTAAGCAGATACAGTAACAAGAACCTTTGAGGCTGAGAGGATTCAGTGCATCTACACCAGGCAGCGGAACAGAGATGGGTGAGCAGACCCTCCCTGCCTTGTTCCCATTCTCACGTGCAGGGCCAGGGGCCTGAGACAGTTTGTCAGAGAGTCTGGGTCCATGTGCTGTCTCCCTCTAGTGTCCAGGGAGCCACAGTGACCCCGCTGAAGAGGCCTAGCTGCTGGCAAAGAAGGGGCCTGGGGCTATGACTTGTCAGGGTTGCCCAGGCGCTCCACATGGCTTCTCCAGGGCAGGAGTAATTACCTGCTTTCTGTAAATAGAGGTTTAGGTGTTGTCCTGGTATCTTGTTGAAGGTCACACCGCAGGATGGAACTGAGGCTGGAGCAAGGTCTCCTGGTTCAGAAACTCTCTGGAGTTGGCATTTCACTTTTCTGAACTTCTGTAACCCCAGGAGCCCTCCAGGTTGGGTTAAAACAATCCCCTTCCACTCCCCACCGCCAAGCCCAGGACAATCCTGGAAGAGGCCCAGTGAGAGAAATTGGTGGAGCTGGGCCTTGCCTGCCACCTGTCTCCTGGGGCTGACCCTAGCTCAGAGTCCTGCAGAAACAAGATCCAGGAAGATCAAACCTTTCCTTAGGTCCTGCCCCAGACAGGTCCATCAGAGCAATCATTTACTGTAATGCTCGCTATGGTCCTACAATGCTGGCATCATTATCCCACATTTTAGATGACAAAAGTGGGGCTCAGAGAGTGGCAGTGACTTGTCCAAGGTCATAGGGTTAATTAAGGTCAGGCCTGGCTCTGAGCCTGGGGCTCCCAAACCAGGGCTTTTGCCTGTAGCCCCGTGGCACTGCCAACATTGACCACCAGGTGGCAACCTCCCCCAACTTGCTGTGGGCTGCAGGTGCCCTGGAATCTTAATGGCCGTGCCAGTGGTTGGTGACAGTGGCAGTATCTGCCTGGTCTTCCAAAACCAAATCAAAAAGGATAAAATCAAATCAAAGGATAATTACATTTAAGCTTCCCTAAAGCAGCACTTATTAACTCTGTTGTCCCCAAGGGGAAACTGATGCCCTGAGAGAGGCGGTGGCTTTCCAGAGGAGGAAGTTGTGTGTGCGCATGTGCACAGAATCTGCTTCAGTCTGGTCCCACTTGAGACTGGTGGACCTGCTGGCCAGTCGTTAGCTGAGAGATGGCAGCCATGATTTCCTTGGCACCCCTCTGCCCTCTGTTGCCAAGGCCCTGCTCAGAGATGGCAGGGGAGTTTTCCTCTGACTGTGAGAGGTCCAGGCCCAGCCCCTTCTGTAGGTGGGGTCACCCTTCCCTGGTTTGAGGCTGTCTGCACAGCCCCTTGGACCCTCCCCCCACAACCTGTGTGCTCTTTGTGTGGTGCATGGGAACTTCTGCGATATTCCATGCCTGCCTAGAGGCAGGAGGAACTAGGAGGGGGTCCTCTGCATCCGTCCTAGATTACCTCAAACGTTCCCTTCATCACTGCTGGCAGGGAGGGTCCCTCTGTGAGATACCTGCCACCGGAGTGCTCTACCGGGAACTTCGTCCCTGTCTCTTGCTGCTCTGTGGCAGCCCTGGGGTTCCCAGCTCAGTGAGATTTCCTCCTGGATAGGAGGGTGAGGTGCTTTGGTAGGCAGGCCCAGTTTCTCTGGGGAGCTCTGGAATAGCCCCCATTCTCCTTCACGGCAGGGACTTCTCAGCACGAACAGAACACTGCTGTCCGCATGAGGCTGCCACTGACTTCCCCGCCTTGCCCTCCTAAGTACCGTGTGTGTGTGTGTGTGTGTGTGTGTGTGTGTACACATGTGTGCTCCTTCGGGTCTCTCTTTGCAGTGCGGTCTTAGAGCCTCCTGTCCTCAGCTGGGGACCTTCACTGCAATTCCGTAAATCCGACACCTCAGGGAAAGTCCGACTATGTCCTGTCAAGTAAAGGTCCTGACAGCTGCCTTGGAGGGCACTGAAAGGGTTTAGTTCAGAAGTGAGGGAGTCTGGGGGCGCTGTGAGGGCAGGGGCCTGCCATTTGAGCTTTGTGTCCTCAGCACCCATTACAGGGCCTGCTTGGAGCAGGCCTTGGGGCTGTTTTCTCGCATGAATGAGGGTCCCTGAGGTGACCCCTCCCAACTCCAGATGAGGGTTTCCTCTCAGAGCAGGACAGGACCCCTCCCTCTGTAGCCCCTCACATTCCCCTCTGCAGGAAGGAGAGGAGGATGGAGAACGGAACAAATATTTAGGGAGGCAAGCATTGCACAGCCATTATTTCAGGGTTTCCAAGCTTCTCCCATTCTCACGCCTCCATGATTTTTGCTAAATCCATGCTGTACTAGTTTTAATATTTTTCTTCAGCATATTTTATGTGTATATCTAATTTCACTGTCTCCTAAGTAATAACATTCAAGATATCATAGGTTTGCTATATTAGTTATATTTTTTCCTATTGTATATTAAAATAGATATGCAGCTATTAAAAAATTAGCAGAGACAAACTGTGCACCACCAGTAAGGCATGTACCACACTTAGGTTATTTCTCACAAAACCCTGTGAGGTTAGTAATGTTATTTCTGCTTTACAGGTGAAGAAACAAAAGTTCAGAGAGGTGAATTGACTTGGAGAAGGTCACACAGATTCTTCTGATCTTGACCCCACCGCCTACAGATGGGAGA